TAGATATTTTTGCACCTGTAGACTTTTAGTCTTTGAGACCTGCCTTCACATTAAGCTTTAGAAAATGCGTGCTGCTGTGCAGTGATCCAGTCGAGCAAAGGAAAAAGGAAGCAGTTCATAGATAATAATAAATGTTTCTGAGATCACAGTGCGAGCAGACAAGAAAAGCTGCAAACTGAAAGGCCAAGCTGGCCTATAAGTGTTCCATGTAAAAATGCTTTTTTGTTCCTTGTAAATTATAAAGCTTTTATTAAATGTTTTGAATGAGGAAGGAAAGCTTTAGGGTCATTTTGTATGTGGTTTCCTGGAGTGTAGTGATTGAAAAATGGAAGCTGAACATTTAAGGATTTAAGGGTCTACATGCTGTGCTGTGGAAAACCAGATATTTGACTCTGGTTCTGAGCAACAAGGAACATGCTTCGGTGTGGCTTCTGAAAGAAACACTTTCCATCTATAAGACCATTGCTTATTAAAGTGTGAAATGTTCTCGGTTTTGTTTTTATCCAAGATATCCAGCAGTTAATGTTTCTGAAGCAAGTTTTCAAATGTAAGTGTTCCAGGGGAGGTAAAAACAGAGAGAAATGTCTAAAGTGTGATGTTAACTTTTCTGTTCCTCTATCATCCTGTTAGCATATATTATTAGGTGAGTGTTAATGAGACCACTGAGTCATGCTGACAGCTTGCTGCTTCCAAAGGGGCAGCATCTGAACTTCATCCTCTTTTTTTTATATATTTTTTTTTTCCTTTCCCCCTCCCCACTTGTCTGATTCTCTCCTTTGTGCCTGTTCACACAGCCCTTAGTAACACACAGCGATTGATAAGTCAGTGTTTTCTCACCGAGGAATGAACAAAATAATTCCTTTTTTTCTTTTTTTCCTGCCAGTTCAGGGAACTGACCTGACTCATCAGCAGCTTAGACAATGAAAGAAGGAAGTGGAATTAAGTGGCAGGAAAGGCAGTATGTGACTATCTCTTTCACTGCTACTAAACTTTCAGATTGGTTTGGTTACCTTGTGAAGCCTCACCCTTAGGATTTGGTTATGGGAGTGCTGGTTATGCTCAGAAGTTATCCAGATTTGAAGTTGCTGATCACTTGGGAAAGACTAGCTAAATAAAGTCACTGTTGCAGGTTTACTGACAGGTCTTGAGGTTTCTTACCTCTTTGGTTTTCTGTGGTCTTTACAGTAGTATTGTAGTCTCTGTTTACCCATCTCCTCTTTTCATTGGTACTTCACCTTATAAACTGTTCACACGTTTTCTCAGTCTTTTTTGTTTGCTTCAGCTTTTGCTCTCAGACCCTGAAAAATTAATCAAACCTGGATTTCTCCTGCAGTCCTGGTAAGTGTTAAACTGTAGTGAGGTTGGTGTCACAGCTAAGCTGAATTAACACTCAGCTGCTTCTGAAAGGGTAGTTTCATCCCTTCTCTGGCAGTGTGTTCTCACTGCTTCACTTGGGCCAGCTTTGGTGTTTGTGTTGTACTGTGATGAGCTGGTCTGGGGAGCTAGGCAAACAGAAAATTAACCACAGTTTTATGTTCATCTGGCTCTGTCAGCCAGCTCCTCACAGGGTCAAATGAACATCAGGCTTGGCCTAAGGACAGAGAGCCATAGGCACACAGGCAAGAGATTGTTCACAGGACTGCTAAAAGGGGAGAAGCTGGGCCATCTGTTTTAGCAGTATTCTCCATTAGGTAGATATGACTGCAATGTCATACCACATCCTGAAGGCAAGGACCTTGCTGCTTTTGCTTAAAATTGGGTGCAGGAGGATGATCCCTCACTACTTTTCTATCCATGGGATGCTTCCATAGACAAACTTCTCAGCCCTTGCTGTTTTCTTCCTTCCCCATTAAGAGTTATAATACACTTTTTATTAACAAAAGTTTGTATTACCAATGTTTTGATTCTCTTCATTTGCCTCAAATATTTTACATTAACCTTGTCACAGATGTATGATTGAATACCGCAGCATGTTAACTGTACCCTATAAATTTAAACCAGAATTGCAGTTATCATATCCCAACAGTTTGTTATTCTTCATAACAATCAGTTGCATTTATGCTCTGCATTTTAAGTTTACGAGGGCTGAAATTCCCAGTTTTTCTCAGCATCAGTAGTTCTTCATTCCTCAGTGAAGGTAAATCTTAATTTTGCTGACAACGTTGTCTAAGCCAAGTAAAGATGTCAGACAGAGCGTCATTTTCCAAATCATGGGTGGTTCAGTTTGCAGGCTTCTGGAGTGCTGGAGGTGAACCTTCAGATATTGTGTTATTTCTTCATTAATACTTATTAAGCCATGTGTTTTTGTAAAGAGGAAGAAACAGCTCTAGATTTAAGCAAGTTTATATTTAATAGCATTAGAAGTTTCTGCTTAGTATGTGTCTGTTCATTTTGCCAGGATCGGCTTTTTTCTTTTGCATTAACAACTAACCAGAGCAGCTGACAAGCTGTAAGGCTATTATCTTTAACTTGCATTTTCATATTGATGATCTGCTGAGTGGAATAATCCCTTGCTTTTTAATACACTATTTTGTGGCATATAGCGTAAATGTAACATCCCTTTTTATTTTATGACTGAGAAAAATGAGACCCAGTCTATTCATTCATTAAACTCATGTAAACCCCTTAATACTACTTCTTTTTCATTAGAGTTGATTCAGATTTAACACTGTAGCAGTGTTTTTCAAATCCAACTAGCCTTTTCTGTCCATTTCTACTTTAGAAACATCTTAAGTAGTTACTTAGCTTCACAATGATTGATAATGTATTTATTGAGAAAGCAGAGCTTTTCAGTTTACCAAGAAAGTTTGAAGGCAGATATTGGACAGGAGTGACAAGTAGTTAAAAATATCAAGTCAGTCTTTAGTAAGGCATATATATGTATGTTTAATATGTATGTGTGTTTATAGATGGGGTGTGTGTGCATGTGTCTGTTTTATGTTTGTCTGCATTTATCTGAATCTATCAAAGACATGTCTACATATATCTAAATATTGTTTCATGGCTAGAAACTGAGCTTTATCTTAATATGATTTGTTGACTCCTACTGTATCAGCATAGAATAGAATGAATGAATGTGTATATACAGAATTCATCTACCAAAGACATGATTTTGTTTTTCTGAAGCTGTAGTGTACAAAAGTACCCTAGGATCGTGCTCTTCAAAAGGCTCTATAACTGCATTTTTCTTTATGATATTATTTGCTCATGTGTTGTATAAGGTGCCCATTAAATGAAGCAAAGTGTTTATCAGAACATAAAGACTCATTCAAGAGCACAAATGTAAAAATAAGCACTGTTTCAATGCAACATCAACTTATTTTGGGGATACAACTGTATTGCACTGAATAAAGGTAGTATCACCTACTCTTTTAGATACCAGAGTGTTTAGTTCCTGGTATTCTTAGCAGTACTTGTTAAATCAAAGTACTTCTGAAGCCTTATCCTAAGAAAGTTCAGTAATTTCACCTTGAATAGCCCCATTGGAATTTGAAACAGATTTATGGCAGAAACATGTGGTCCAAACAGCTGTCACGCAAAACCTTTTAAAAAACCCCTGAAAGTCTGGTGAACTCAGAAATGTGTTGTGCATGTTGTTTTGACTTTTTTTTTTTTTAAACTAAGATAATCCTAAATACGTCCTTCAAGGAAAACCTCTAATGTAGGTCTTGAACATAAAGCCGTAGCTAAAATAAACTGGCGTGCTTGGACAGATGTGTCTTTTTAACATAGGGCTTAAGGACTTGAAATTTATAGCCTGCCTTTCCTGTGGAATTGCAAATAGTTTGATATTGTACGTCAATGGAGGCATAAAAGTCACAGAAAACAAAACAGGATTTGGACAAGGATCAGAGTGAGAGGGAGTCAGTGTGAGAGCATCTGTCTTATGTTATGATCTTGGATTTGATTAAAAAATTTAAAATTCTGTCATTCTGACAATGTAATCTCTCCAAAGCAAATTTAGGAAATGCCAATTTGTTTCCTGACAATTGCTCTGTTTCCATTGCCCACCGTACTGGGACAGGAAGGGGGGATCCAGGCTGCCTGGGGAGAAACAAAGCAAACTCCGTCTGCTGCTTTCTAGCGCTGGGGCATTTCCCCTGTACTGGGGACACTAGTTTCTGACCCGCCCTGGCCTTTTTCTCTCTCATGACTGAGTTAATCTCTCAGGGAAAATAAAGGGAAAGGGTTTGATTTAGTAAAAAGGGGGAGCCTATAGTATAAAGAGTAACAGAGCATTTAGATGACATCTACCAATTTTTATACCATGTGGTTTATAGAAAATTCTTGCAAATTGAATCGATTATTTTAAAAAACCCCAAACAAACAAAAAACCCAACCAAACCCTAAAATGTGTAAGCAAATTTTACACGACTGTCCGAATCACTTGAAAAATGGCTTATGTGAATGGTTTTGCTATTTTGAATGGTTTTCTATTGCAGTGTGAACTCCAAATGGAAAAATAGGTGGTCTGGAATAGAGAATATTTTGCCTGAAGCAATAGAAGGATGTGGGAGGATGTAAATATTTCATATACCATAATGGGTGGATGAGATGATAGTAGATGTAAAAGTCGGGGTGTGATCATGACAGATATAAATAAAACAACATAATAACCTCCAATTTTGAGTAGAAGACTCAGTGGAAGAAAAAAATCCTTATTTTGAAAAAATAAAATCCAATTGAGTTCGTACCGCTGCATAACACAGTGGATAAATACAAGCTTATTGATCTGCCTGCACAATTTGTCACAATAATGCTGTTAGTTTAACAGGAGCTCACCTCAGCCATGCTTTGATTTCTTTAAAAGCTGTAAAGTTTCATTAGAATACTCCCTTTTTCTTTTATATTTTATTTTTCTACATAAGAATTTCTCTGTGGCTAATTTGAAAATGCCAGTTAAATTATGAATTTTAATATAGTATTCAGAGAGCTTTTTTCAAATAAACAGCATTTTATTAATTGTTTTCCATTTTTTTTTCTTCTGCCTCTCATTTCAGAACGGTTTGATCACCACTGTCCCTGGGTAGGCAACTGTGTGGGGAAAAGAAACTACAGATTTTTTTATATGTTTATTTTATCTCTGTCCTTTCTGACAGTCTTTATATTTGCATTCGTTATCACCCACGTCATCCTTCGTAAGTATGCTGGTGAAATCAGATTACGTATGTAGCCATTTGCTTGAGTTTTTTATTTTTAAGTTAATCTTTTGATCATTCAGGGTTTATTTATTTATTTATTTATTTGCCTTTTCTCTGAAGCTTCACGATCCCTAACGAGTCCCATTCTGGTCTGTTGTAGACCATGGTCATAGTAGTCATTGATCTAGCGCTGGCTTTAGCTTTAAATACCGTGTTAATTTTCTTAATTTTGTTGTCCTTTTATGGACAGTTTATTGGAAAAGCAGCACACACATTGTATGTCTAAGTATACAGATAGTATCATTTTCCCAAAGAACTTCTGTGTGCTTTTTTCAGTGTAAGCATGGGTCACTTGCCATCCAAACAAAAAAGTAAATTGCTAGGAAATAGATTGGAGCTATTTTACACTTTTTGTTGTTTGCTGTTTAGCTTTACATTTTTTTCTACCCTATTTTTAACACAAGTTACTTTCATTTGCGTAGACATTCTGAGAATAATATATAATGGAGTGAATCAGATAAGCTATAGGAAAATGAATATTCATGAGTTTGATTCGTATTCTGGTTTGGGTTTGAGGAAACTGTTTTCAAGACTCTTGGGTAGTGTCTTTTTTTTTTCCACACACGTAACAAATCTTGTTAGCTCCTATATGATGGTGATGATGATGTTCTCATTTATGGTGATATGTTATATGGTGATAAGTTATATGACTTGTCTTTAAAAACCTTTTGTAAGTTGTGGGTATTTTTTTACACAGTACAAAGCTTGTGTTCTATCTTTTCACTAATTATATAGGATATTGCCTTGAACAGTAGTTCTTTAATCATTTTGAAAATGTGATCTTTTTATCCCTTTGTACTCTGTATTACAATGGAAACCTGATAGAAATTCAGTTTATACCACATTTGTAAAGCTAACTTGATAATGGTAATATTTAGAAAATGCTTTATTAAAAAGTATGCCACATTGTGCTTAATTTCCTAAATTACTTACACTGTGCAGGGGTGAAAATTTGTATTTTGACAAACAGAACTCATCTTCTTTCTTGTGTTTCACAAAAGAAGGATAAGACCACTGAGCGGCTCTCCTGTAGCTCAGAAATCTAGCACGTAAACTAGAGCTAGGGGCACTTTTAATTTTGGGCGAGTCTCAATCAACAAGTTGTTCTCACTGCCAGATACAGCATTTCTAATATCAGTTGAAAGAGCAGAGAAAAGATAAACATTACTTAAAAAGGAAAAAGTAATTATTGGAAAGAGAACACTTTGCATTAATATTCAAATCCTTGAAATTTATTTGGGCACATACATGCACACTTTTTATATTTAAGAAGGAAGCATAAGATTCTTTCTGCGAGAATTCAATAGTTGAAAACACCAGTCTGACAATATAAAGATACTTTTGAAGCTGGCCTGCCTGTATTTCATAAACAGTACAGTACTTCTTTTCAGTTTTCAGCATATGAATTACCAGTATTATGCCAATATTCCACGTGCTGTATATCAAGTGGAGTTACCTAGTGGATTTTAACTTTGCAGTGTCCATACCTAATTCTAAGTGTGAATAAGACAAAGAGCAGAGAAATGAATTGTGCCTCTGTGTGATTGAGCAGCACTTTAGCACTCTGTACGTGTTACAGATAATGTATTGTAAATGTTAAATACTGACTTGTTTAAGTATATCAGATGTAAAACCTTCTCACTACGGAGGTTTATCTAGCTTGGATGAGACAGGAAAAACCTCCCTCATTCTAAAGACTGTTTGATCCTCAAAGGCAATGGGAGCAGGTATGAACTGTGATTAGTTCCTCAATGTTTGTTTGCTATGTTTGAGCTTCAAGCCCAGTTTCCAATTTATCTACTATAATCTTGACTGTGTCCAAAAAAAAAGTTCCTTACAAATAAGGGGGTTTTTATCATATCACTCCACTCTCTTTGTGCCTACCATGCTTCTAGAAGTCTTCAAAGCTACCTTTCTAATAGTTACCACTCAAACATTTTCATTCCATTTTGCAGCCCTGCAGTTCTTCATCTGATGATAACCATTACACGGGATTCTTAGTTACTTAATCTGAATCTTTGCAATTGGCATAGAGTGCTTTCTGTTAGTTTGTCTGAATAAAAGCTTAGTTTTTAGACCGTAGACTATGATCTTCCTGCAGTGTTTCAAAGTCATCCATATGTATTTCCACAAGTTCTGGCGAAATTTGTGATTCTAGAGGAAGTACTGCTGACTTAATCAAATCCTGTTCTTAGCTCTTCTGAAGATGATCCTAGCAGGATTACCTTCCCACAAGCAACACCTTATTCTAGATACCCTGTGTTCGACTGAATACGTTCTGACAGTATCCTTTAGGAAGAGACTAAGAGATACTTATAGCAACTTGTAGGCATTAACCTTAAAAAAAAAAAAAGCCTTTATGGTTCATCTTAATAGGGAAATTCTTTTTCTGACCTTGTTGATTACATAGGAAACGTGTTTTCTTTTTTCTAAGTATCTCTTGATTTAGAAAAATTGTTGAAATCTCTTCCATTTCAAATAAATTTTGCAAGCTGGCATTTTCATAAGTTTTAGTGTGCGTAAGTGGTGACAAGATATGAGATGAATCTCATCTTTTTGTTTTCTGTGGCCTTGCTTTTAAGGCATTCATTGAAAATTTGCCCTTTCCAGGATTAAGAATGTTTGCACGTAGTATTATTGAAGATGATAAGATTACCTTGTAAATCAGATACTTTAAAGGTATTGTCATGCAAGATTTTATTCCATCTCCCCAAGCTTAACACATTTTTCAGTAGTAGTGCCTATCTTCACAGTTACTCAGCTCTGTTTCAAGCATCAGTATTTCAACTGTATGCTGCAGCGAGGAACCTTCCCCTTCTGATATATTGGGAACTGCTTGGAAGAATGTGACCAGCAGTAGGGAACAGAGTTCACACCTACCTGCTGCCATTGCCATTAAGGATCCTAAAAAATAGTAAGAAGGTAGAGGGAAGTTCCACTAGTCTTGTTTCTTGAGGCTAAGAACCAGTTGTGAGAGTCTAAAAGGCTCAGAAATACAAGGTAAGTAACTTTCCCCTTTTAATGGCAAACAGTAAAATTGATCAGGCAGATCTAGAGAATATATATGTGTATACACACACATATATATTTTCTTCTTTTTTGTTTTAAAGACAAAGTTCTCTCTTCATACAAATCTTCAGATTAATTTAGCTAGGGGGAAATTTTTTCCTGTGGGACTTTGAACCTGATGCATTTAAATAATTTAAATTATGAAGTAAAATGCAAGCTGTGTGCCTTGTAGTTATGTGACATTGAGTCAGTTTCTACAGATGAATTCACTTGTTGCATATTTATCAGAAAATTGTCAAATTGCCCTTTTTGATGAATATCTCATGGTTGTGGAACCCAAGTGGATGCTTCTGCATCTCTAGTTCCTTGGAGCATGCTGCTCTTGAGCTCTTTTCAGCTAGTAGATATTATCTTATTTGCCCAGAGGCAACAAGCACCTATTCAAAAAGTCTGTGCAGGTGCAGTAGGAGTAGGACTATAGTCTAGAGAACTTTGGCTGCTTCCTTTACAGTATAAATTTTTCAAACTAAAAGAGTTGCTTTGAAAAATAGCATTTCAAACTAAAAAAAGTGCTTATAATTTTTTGTTTCCATATTAGGTCTGAAAAGAACAGGAATAATCAGAAATCTTGTTCATGGGAAAGTACGCATGCATCAATTTGACTGAGAAAATATCCTGCAGATGTTAGACCTGATAACTGACCCAACGTTTTTTTCTGATGTTGTTGCTGCTCAGCAACGTAATGTCAGATTTATATTAGTAAATCTATTCTATGATTATTCAGCTGATCTTCAAATATTAATTGTGTTAACTATGCTGAAAACAGCCTATAGTGCAATTTCTTACTCAGCTGGTAATTTTGGGTTCTATTTCTACAGGTTCTCAACAAACAGGGTTCCTCAATGCCCTGAAGGACAGTCCTGCAAGATATCCTTTCTCTGGAACAAATTGTAGATCTTGTTGCAAAATAACATCTGAGATGTGCTTCTGCTTGGTTTTTTTGCTATTGTTGGATATGTGCATTTGAGACTTTATCAGTTAAGGATTTAATCACTTCATGCACAACAGGATTTCTCACCACATGTTGGAGGTAGGAAGGAGACTGTAGCCTGGGGTGGGGTTTATTCTTTATCTTATGCAGAGTATTCTCTTGACAAAGGTCTGTAGTTTCCATGTGTGATCAAAATATGTTCCATGTACTTGTGATGGAATTCACAAATATATTTCACACTATACCCATGCTGTGGTTTCATTTAAAATATTAAATAATTCTGCTTTTATAGCGGAAAGTATCCAAAATGGCTGACTCTTGTCAGGATAGAAAAAGTAGATTGTGGAACAATTGAAACCATAAGCTGTCCCTGAAGAGTTCAATTCCTGAAAGTATTCTTTTGTTTATTTACTGTTTTTAGAGAAGTCATTTTCAAGTATCAACTTCTGTTAAGTTACATAAAAGTATACACATGCATACGCAGGCACTGCTGTTGTTGTTCAGCCTGGAGATAAGGTGGCTCTGGGGAGACCTTATTGTGGTCTTTAGAATATATCTAAAGGGGGCTCATAAAAAAGACAGAGACTTTTTACCAGGGCCTGTAGTGACAGGACAAGGGGTAATGGTTTTAAACTGAAAGAGATTAGATTAAGTTGGCTATAAAGAAGAAAGCTTTTACAGTGAGGGTGGTGAGACACTGGAACAGGTTGCCCAGAGTGGTGGTAGATGCCCTATCCCTGGAAGTATTAAAGGTCAGGTTGGATGGGGCTCTGAGGAACCTGATGTAGTGAAAGATGTCCCCACCCATTGCGGTGGCGTTGCAGTAGATGGTCTTTAAAGGTCCCTTCCAACCCAAACCATTCTGTGATTCTGTTCTGTAAATTCTCTGTATTCTTTTTGTCACTTCATGGGAGCTTTATATATGTTTTCTACTCTGTGAGAATGGAAAGTACTCCTTTTTCCTGTCTGAAAGCAGCTAACATAATGGAAAAATGGGAAGGTGATGTAACTTCTGTTTAGTTTCTTCCTTACATTTCTGTACAGACGGTAAGCTTCCCACTCCTTACATATATGTTTTGAAAGGTTTGTGTCTGAATAAGCAGTTTGCATCTCTCACAAAGCTTCTATAAAAAGAATTCTTTCTCATACTTGTGCTGAGGAAAATTCTTTTGTCCATTGTGCCTCACACAGTTTGCTCTTTTCCACAGAAGAGTAGGAAGAAAAACCTCTTACTCTGTCATTCATAGTTGTGCATAAAGGCAGACCTCTCTTTCCAGGTAGTTTTTCCCAGTATCAAATTCTCCAAATTCTGCAGATATGATTTTTTTTTTTGTGTGTATATGTGTTCATCAGGTAGAGCCACTGAGCTGTAAACTCCCTTTTTAAGTAAAGCCACTGTTCATTTCTCTTTTGTACAAATGATTTTACAAAGCACAAACGGTTCTAAATGGAACAACAATAGCTTCCAATTAAAACAATTACAATCGCATCTCACAAAAGATGATTCTTTCAAACTATTTTCAAACTGAGAATAGCTTTCAATTGTCCTTAAATCAAAAGGTAATTGATTACACATTTGAGGATACTTGTACAGGAACAATAGGCTGCTTATTCACAATTTGTATATAGAGACGTGCTGATATGAAAGGCTCAGTAGCGCATCTTGTAGAAATGGCCTGGTTTGATAGTGATATGTTAGACGATTTAATAGCTTGGTTACTATACAGTAAAAAATGAAATAATTCAAATAGTATTGGGAATGTAGTTGCCAAGCCACTCTCCATGATATTTGAAAAGTCATGGCAGTCAGGTGAAGTCCCTGGTGATTGCAAAAAGGGAAACATTGTACCCATTTTCAAAAAGGGTAGAAAGGAAGACCCTGGGAACTACCAATCTGTCAGCGTCACCTCTGTGCCTGGGAAGATCATGGAACAGATCCTCTTAGAAGCTATGCTAAGGCACATGGAGGCCAGGGAGGTAATTCGAAATAGCCAGCATGGCTTCACCAAGGGCAAGTCCTGCCTGACGAACCTAGTGGCTTTCTATGATGGAGTGACAGCATCAGTGGACAAGGGAGAACCAACAGACGTCATCTATCTGGACTTCTGCAAAGCCTTTGACACGGTCCCCCACAACATCCTTCTCTCTAAATTGGAGAGCTATGGATTTGATGGGTGGACTGTTCGGTGGATAAGGAACTGGCTGGATGGTTGCGTCCAGAGGGTAGTGGTCAATGGCTTGATGTCTGGATGGAGACTGGTGACGAGTGGTGTCCCTCAGGGGTCCGTGCTGGGACTGGTGCTGTTTAACGTTTTCATCAATGACTTAGACAGCGAGATCGAGTGCACCCTCAGCAAGTTTGCGGATGACACCAAGCTGAGTGGTGCGGTTGACACACCAGAAGGATGGGATGTCATCCAGAGAGACCTGGACAGGCTAGAGAGGTGGGCCTGTGTGAACCTCATGAGGTTCAACAAGGCCAAGTGCAAGGTCCTGCACCTGGGTCGGGGTAACCCCCAGTATCAGTAC